GCTTTCACAGCCATTCTACGCAAGCAGACAGAGGCCCAGCTGCAAACACTCAGCACAGACTCATGCACTATCAGAGGTGTTCCAGTGGTCAGCACTCACTAAGCTGTGACAGCACTACCGATACTTAGTAACTCTGAATCCTCAGAGCCCTTTGAGAGATGGGTAATGATTATTCCCATTTTTAAAAGAACAAAGCAGGCCAGCGCTGTGGCACCAGCAGGTAAACCTGCCACCTCAGACACTGGCATTCCAGAGGGGTGCTGCTTTGAGTCCTGGATGCGCCACACTTCCATGCTAGGTCCTTGCTTAAAGGGCTGGGAGAGAGTGAGTGACAACCCAAGCAATCGGGCCACTGTGACCCTGGGCTCTGGGCCCACCCAGCCCGGCTGGGGAGTAACAGTGGACAGAGAGGATCTCCGAGACCCTCTGTCTTTCAAAATAAATAAGGGGGAGAGTTTTCATAGCCAGCATGATGACTCTACCGGCTAGTCCTCTACCTCCAAGGGCCAGCATCCCATATCAGCGCCAATTCCTGTCCTGGCCACTCCACTTTCCGTTCAGCTCTGTGTACGCCTGGGAAAGCAGCGGAAGAGGGCCCAAAGCCTTGGGACCCTGCACCCACATGAGGGACCCCAAAGAAGCTCCTGGCTCCTGGCTTCACATCGGCTCACCTCTGGCCATTGCAGCCACTTTGGGAGGGAACCAGCCAATAGAGCTTTCTATCTCTCCTCCTCTCTGTAAATATATTTTTTCAATGAAAATAACTTTTTTTTTTTACAGGTTCAAGTTTACTTATAAGTCCTCACCTAGTATTACATGTCAACTATCTCATTATCAACTACACTTGAGACACTTGGCTCATGTCAGCCATACGATTATAAAAGAATGAAAGCATACATTATCTCAGTATCCTCCTGTTATGCCATCTTCTCCAAAAACAACAGCATTGGTTATATGGCTGCTATATAGAGCGAGCACAGCGCTACCTACTGAAATTCCTTGTGATTTCATGTCTAAACTTGTTTCAAATCTTTACATGAAATTAGAGATCAGGATAATGCCAGGGTAATGGTGTAACTATCGAGCAACACACCATAAGTCCCCCAATGCCACCGTGGATATACATAGTAAAGCTGTAAAACAGCCACCTTCTTCCACGAGTCACAACCATTTTTCTAAAGCTATTCCCCATCGTAAAAACAACTTTCTTAAGTGCCATGTTAAAACTAGCAACAATTGGTAAGTACCACGCCCATTCCCAAACTTTGGCTCTTCCTACTGCAAGCACGGCGCTTCCCATCTCCTCACTGCACCTGCTCGGGCTAAGTACCAGCACTGTGGCCTGGGCTCTCAAGGACCCGGGTGGGCGCCACCTGCCCAGGCCCTCCTCCTCCGGGGCTTCTGCAGCCATCCATCCAGGCGGCACCTCTCAGCGCCGCCCCCTCCCCCGGCAGGCCCGGCCCCTCCTCGGACACGTGTGTGGGGTGTGTTTGTGTGGGTCTGTCAGTCCCCACCACTGGGGGAGGGGAGCCCGGCTCGCTCACCGAGAGAGGAGCGCCAGCTTCTGCTCCAGCATCATCTCCAGCTTCTGGCCCTGTCTGGAGATCCAGTGGTCTACTCCGTGCAGGCGGTAGCACGTCTCCAGCATCGACCTGAAGTCGGCCACGAACTCCGTGATGCTCCCGTACTGGCCGCGGCCGAACTTCTCCTCCATCTTCAGCAGGGACAGGCCGTGGGCCGCCGGGGCGCGACTGCGCGGCCCCTCGGTGCTGGCGGCCTCCCCATCGGCCGCCGCCGCCTCCTCCTCCTCCTCCCCGGCAACGCCCCCCAAGGGCTGCAGGAAGGGGCCCGTGAGGCCCCGATGCTTCTCCTGCAGGAACTCGCCCAGGATGCGGTAGCCCTGCTGCAGCTCGTAGGTCAGCTCCTGCTCCCTGCAGCCGCCGCCCCCGACCACCGTCTCCTCCCGATCGGCCGCCGCCGGCGAGCCGCTGCTCCTCTGGCCGGCCATGCCCGCCGAGGCCGGGGCCTCCTCGTCCTCGGGCTCCAGGGCCCCCGGCCTCTCGGACGCGCTCATGTCCCCCCCGGCAGGCCCAGGCTGGGCGCTGTGGAGTGGCGGGAGGGCTGCGTGAGGGGGGGAACCCGCCGCTTCCTCAGCGCCCGGGCCGCATCGGGCCTCCCGCTCCCAGTCTCTCTCTCTCCCCAGCAGCCGGCTCCGCTCGGTGGCGCGCGGGGGTCTCGGGCTCGCCGCCGGCGGGGCGGGGTTACATGGCGCGCTGGAGGAGGGGGGAGAGGGGAGCCTAGGTGCCCTCCTCTCCCCTCCCCCCCGGCGGCGGCCTCCCCCGTCCGCGCCCCGCCCGCCCGCCCGCCCGCTTCGTTCGTTCGTTCGTTCGTTCGTTCTCTCGGCCGCTTGCTCTCCTCACGGGCCTCAGGCCCGAGCCGGGCGGCCGCGGCGCCCCACCCCCTCCCGGGCCGGCGGGGGGCTGGGAGGGGGCGAGCAGGAAGCTGGCGGGAGGGGAGCGTGTGGGGGAGATCCTCCTGTCGCCTCCCCCGGGGTGGGGGGGCCCCGGCGGCGTCGGCTCCTCCTCTCCCCCGGACCCCCTCCCTCCCTCCCTCTCTCTCTCTCTCTCTCTCTCTTTCTCTCCCTCTCTCTCTACCTGCGGGGGACCTGGGCTGAAGGAGGTGGCGCGCGGACGGGGGGCCCCGGCGACAACTGTCAGTTAGAACCCCCCGCTGGGCGGGGTGGGGGGGCAGGGAGGGCGGGGCGGCGCGCACAGGGAGGGCGCTGCGCCCGCCCCGCCGGGAGAGCCGCGGGCCGACGCGGAGAAAGAGGCGCCGGCGCGGCCCCGCGCGCATGCCAAGTAGACCACCTTTTTTTTTTTGAAGGCCCCGCCCCCCCCGCTCGCGTCCCGCCCAGGTACGCGAAAGACGCCGACTCGGGTTCGCAAGGCCGAGCGGGGCTGCGCGCGCCGATGACGCAATCAACGCGCCGCCATCTCTAAGGGGCGGGGTGGAGGAGGGAACAAAGGCGCCTGCGCAAATTCACTGCCAGGGCTAGGCGAGCCAAAGGCCTTGATTTGTATGTGTGTATGAATAATAATAATTAAAAAAAAAAAAGCCGTTGCGGGGTAGAGAATGTTTCATTTGTTAGCCTCCAAAATCAAAATTAACCCTAAACGGTGTTGCTAGGTCATATCCGTTGATAAGTGAATAGCAAGAAAGCATAAAATGTCAATTCTCCTAAAATTTAAAAACCCTTTTGACTTTGAACATAAAACTCCCAGATGAGTTTGGAAAGTTTAAAAAGGACGCTCAAGGATCTGACCCAGGCGCTCACATACCAAAGGAAAGGACTTGGTCCCTAAGACGTGTAGCTGTAGTTCCTAATATATTCTTGGAAAACAGTTCCAAGTTTTCTGTCCAAATGAAACACGAAAACATTTCTACATACTCGGGACTTGAGTTCTGCCAAGAAGGCACAGAATAAAATAAAACCTCATTTAAAATAAAAAAATGCTTGGAACTAAAAGCGATGTCTCAAGATTTCCAATTCCGAGCTCTACAGCATTAAACGTCATTGGCATGACGTCACAGCTCAGCTACACAATCAAAAACTATTGTTTAGATCGGGACTGAGGAATGGACCCGGAGCACGAATATGCACGTTGGGTTAAAATAAGTGAGAGGAAGAATGAATGGTTCCATCATCTGATACCCCAGTTTTCTCATGCACTATGTGAAAGATGCACTACACTATTTTTTCTACTTATATAAAACCCTCTTGCTTGCCACTAAAGACTACTTAATAAACAAATTTAAAAAAGAGACATCATTATGTTACAAAGAAAACACTATATGACAGAATGGTTGATATTCACTCTTACTTCTCATTAGTATGACTTTTAATGCGTTGAGAAAGTCCACAACTTCACTGCTGGTTTTTCTGTCCACTGAGTCACAGCTGATACCACCTGTAGTATCTTTGGAGTGCTGACGCTCTTCCTCTTTCACACATACCTGCTCGCCACCCCTGCCCATTATCGAGCATTTAAGGTCTCGCACCTGCCAGGCTCTTGTAACTTACTATTTACTTCTCCCTCCTTTGAGCCTACAGATACGCCTCAGTTCACAGGTTTAGAGGAGGGGCTTGGTCCTGATGGGGCAACTGGAGGTTATATGCCTGGTTGGCTGTTCTCCCTTGCTTTGACAGAGCCCAAGAACCTGCACCAACCTTGATTTCACGACTCACATGTTAGCATCCATTACTGAACCCTGTGCTGCTCCGTTCCTTATGTCCTTCTCACAACAGTCCTCTAAGCTGGCTATGATCCTCATTTTACAAAAAGGGAAAAGAACATCTTACAAAGTGGTTCATCGAAATCTAGGCTTGTCTTTTCTCAAAAATTCCCAGGAGTCCAATTTCTAGTAGCCTGGCAGAATTTCTAATTGCTCATGAATAAGAGCATAGGGAACTCACCTAGAAATGTGGATCAAAGTCTTCCTAATTAAGGTCTAGAAAAGACAACAGTCTGTGCAGGTAGGACGGACCTCCGCTCCAGGTCACGGACAGGAGGCTTAGATGGTGGCAATCCTGCTTGTGGTGAAAGTAGGACTGAGTCCTTGGACTTAGAAAAAGAACTTTATGATGCAAGAAATATGTTGGTTGCAGATGAACTCAATACAGATACATGAAAATTAAAATTGCCCTTTAATCCCACTATCCAGAGAATATCTATATTAGTAAATGCTATGGTGTTTTTCTATTTATACCTTTTTAAGAAACTTGAAATTGTAACCATACTACATACAGTGTCCTGAAATTTTGTTTTTCCCTCATCAATAAACAGTTACATAGAATGGATAAGATCTGCACATATAAACATCTGAACTTGATAGCCCTGTCTCTAAATGACCTCCCCATCTGAACTAGTATGGAGTGAACTGGGAAAATTCTAATGTAAAATGAATTAAACAAAAACAGTAGTGACGCAACCATCTGTAACAGTGACACTTTATTGAGTACTTACTGGATCTTAAATATTTGCTAAATACTTTACATACACAGTACTCACAGGAGCCCCAGGAAATCACAATACATGTGGGTTTTTCTTTCTTTTTTTTTTTTTTTTTTTAAGTTTTGGATCAATGACTTGCTAAATAGAGTTTTTTTCTACCCTACAAAAAGCTCGACATTAAAGACCAACATTTCAATTATTGTAATTAGTCCTGGATTTATAGAGCTTTTTTCTTATAATGCCTATCTATGGCTAAATCACTAGACTCAAAACGGTTTCGTTTTCCGTGTGTTTTGATAATATTATACTCACTTATATTTCACTCTTGGGATAAAATATTCTTTAGTGCGACTATAGAATCTGTCATGAATGGCTTCAAAATAGAAATCTATGTAAGCCCCATTCTGAATCAGGGCTTCTTTTTTGTTGAGTTGCTTTGCAGGGAGAAGACTGGGATGCTTACACAAAGCAACGCTCTGCCGCTCTGCCGAAACATGTAACATATCGAATACTTATTGTTTGTCAAACACTGTGATACAGTATGCTACATGCTACCAATGTAACATAGAACACATATAACACGGACTGCCACACATAACGGATACTTACTATTTGTCAAATGCTGTGTACAGTATGTTACATGCTACCAATGTTAGAAGGACCAAGACTGCCTTTTCAGAAACTGTGAATTCTTGGAATTCTGGATAACTTTATTATTATTATTATTATTATTATTATTATTTAAAAGGCAGTGTAGCTAAGGAGCTTTAAAGGTTCTCAAAAGTATCAGATGGACAACTTGGGAAGTGGAATATAATTCCGTCCCATCTAGCTCTCACTGTTGAAGTTCACTTCCATTACACAGCAAATCCCCATTCGCATTGCGCTCTCTCAAAACTCTCAGTTTGGGTATCCTCCTATTGCTATGAAAGCAAGAAGTATTATCAAGGAGGGATAAACCTGCCACTATTTCCTTCACCCAATTCCAAAGATGTTCATCCCAGAAATGTGTGTACCTTCTCTTCAGGAGCTCTTAACATCTTAGGACAGCAACAACACCTTAACACCAAGTGTACTGCTTTCGCAGCATTAATGATTTCAGACAAATCACAACAATTTACATACTTCACATTAATTAGGCAAAAGGTGAGAAACATTCTAATAAGACAACTGGAAGCACAGGCTATGCCCAAAGTCTGTGTTTAAAGGTAAAACATGCGAGGTAAACAGGAGGCTTTTAACACTGACTAACCCTGGAGGAAACATAAGGAAGTAATGTTATCAGCTGTTTCACGGGGAGAAAACAGTGCTGTCAATTGCAATGGGAACCACTCACAACACTTATTTGTGTTACTCTTTCTAGATGACACATTCAAGTCATATTAAATATTTCAAGCAAAATCTAGTAACTCCTGTAAGGCTTCCTGTTGCTCGTCACTGAGTTGGGATAAGCATTCCAACCACAACGCTTCCGCAGTCTGCACCTGCCGGATAACACTAGCTAGGCGTTTGGCGCAAGGGTCCGCATAGTTAATCGTCTCATTAATTTTGCCTTCGGCAATGATACTGAGTATTTTGGGCAGATTGGAATTATTTGGACCAATGACCAATGGGTGATTACTTTCAATTAAGTCACAGAGAAAATTCAAAGTCTGAAGGGCTTCCTCTTTGTCTTCGTGCAGCGGCAGCCAGGATAACCAGTGGGGGAGCACTTCATCCACGTTGACACAGTGAGGCTTGAACTTTAGAATCTTCCCTATGGCTGAGATGCAGTTCTCCGTGGCAATGACATTCTTTTTGGTTTTGGAGTTTGCGCACTTGATGACTTTCACCAGCAGTGGGACGGCTTCGGAGCACAAGGAACGGTAATCGTCACCACCGAACTGCGCCATGACGCCCAGGCCATAGGCAGCGGCTTGCCTAACTTCCGGGTTGTTATCTCTCATGTTCAGGAGCATCGGCCACCGGAAATATTCTACATATTTAAATGAAGTGGGACTGCAATGCTCTATGATATCATCAAATATGCACAGTCCCCACTGCCTGTCCGGCCATGGCCTACTGGAACAGATCAGATTGACAATTAGCGGAAGTAACTGTTCAAACCAGGGTAGAATCTTTTCCCTGTAAGTGCTAAATAACGAGTGCAGAATATCTGATACTTTGGTTAGAATATACACATCACATTCATCCTCATCTTGCAGGGACATCTCCACCTGTTGGTCATAGTTTTCTTCCTGTCTTTTCACCTGTCGCAATTCCTGGTTTTTAAAGTGACCCTCGAGTTTGGTTTTCAATATCCCTCCTAATTCCTCCAAATGTTCATCGCTAAGGCAGCCGTCTCCCATGACTTCAATGGACTTGGCAAAGGAGTTCATGATTTCGGAGAGGACGTCCGTATCAGGTTCGGTTCCGATAGCTTTGATTAAAGGATCGCATATGGACTGCCACATCTGGGAAAGATGCTCCGGGCTGTGCGTTTTGGCACATTCCAGGAGAAACGGCATAGACTCTGCTGCTGCCACCCGCACATTGTCGTGGAAGTAAAATTTCAGTAAAGGAACCATAAGCTTCACAACCTGCTCTGTATAGTCCGCAAATCCTTCTTTCAACTCCTTGGCGTAGTAAACCAACATCTGGCAAGCAGTTGCTTTCGCTTCGAGTCCTGAAGTTTTAATTCCAAAACTTTGCTGGTCTCCAAGATTTACAAACTGCCAGCCATCATCATCGCTCATGTTCTCCACGTCCTGCGTGTCCAGGAGAGCTACGTCAGGTTTAGCTGAGGCCGTCTTAATCAGAGGCTCGATCACCAGGGGCAGGTACTGTTGAAAATCTTGTCCAAGAATTTTACACATTCTAGCCCAAGCCGAGACCATGTAGGAGGTCTGCGGGTCATCTTCTTCCATGTTGTTTAAGTCAGATTGAGTCTTCAACAAGAGCTGCATCACCCCCGACGCATCCTGCAAGAACGTTTCCTTGCCAACAGCAAGTCCAATGTGGCTGATGCACTCGATGGTCTTTCCTCTCAGAAGCTTGAGGTCCTTCTGGACAGCAAGCTCAACGATGTGCTTTAGCGAGGGCATAAACAGGTCATAATAGGGAACAAATTTCTCTTCTATCGTATCTGCAATCGAGGCAAGAGTGGTCACGAGTTGTTCTAAAGCCAGTTTAGTTCCACTGCGAATCAATTCCTGAAGTTTAATCACCAGAATGGAATGTAGGTTTTTCACCATAGTATCCAAGTACAGGACCAGCAACGACTTGGGGCAGTCTTCAATAAAAATAATGAGAGCGGAAGCCGCGTGGGACTGCACGCGCTGATTACCTTGATTTTCCATGGTACGCAACAGAGCCGCAATGACCGTTTCGTGGAATTTCTTCTGGAAACTCGGCGCAAAGTCTGTAGCCATCTGTCCAAGCGTGGTGCAGGCCGCAGCCCTCACCCTTGGGTGAGGATCCTGAAGAAAAAGCAAAACGGAGTTAACGGTTTCCTCCAGAGTCGGTTCCATCTGCTGATGGCACCCTTCTCCGATGGCAGACAAGGCCATTAGTCCAGCGTGCCGGTACTTCCAGTCGGGGCTCTGAAGCATCTGTAGGACATGCTCCTTGGTCATGGGCAGCACAACTTTGCCGCCAAGCCCACAAGCCAGTCTGTCCAGGGCACTCTCAGCAGCCACCGCGTTGCTGTCAAAATCATCTTCTTCCATCTCATCGGCATTCACCCAGTCTTCATCATCCTGTAGCTCAACCATCATGGCCAATATATAAGGAATTGCCTGGGCAATAATACTTGTGTGTTTTTTCAACATGGGGGTTGCCGTTTCAGACAAGGTCACGAGGACTTCGAGGGCCAGCTGGCGCTGCAGGTTACTGAGCCGGGAGTCTCCGCATAACCTCAGACTCAGTTGGAGAGTGTCTTCTAGGTAAGGAGCCAAGTACTTGGGCACCGTGTCTGCGATTTCAACCAGGGATTCTAACACGGAGTCATCATCTTGGTAGCACGAGTCATTCACAGCCTGTAAGATTCCAGGAAGCAAGTCTGCAAAGTCTTTGAAAAGAGCGCTGTTATTCTCGTTAGCGAGGACAAATGCAGCTGCGGCCCTGGCAGCTAGGGTCCTGATGGCCGGATGCTCTTGATCTTGAATACACTGGTCCAGCAAACGTTTGATGATATCCAAATCGTGCCGCTCCTGGTTCCCGAAAATCCCTGGGAAGTGCCAGAAGACGTGAAGCGCAACTTCCCACAGGACCACATTTTTAGAGTAGATGGCATCAACGAGGAACTTCAGACCTTCCGGCCAGTGGTTCGTGCCACCCTCGTCTATCAAATTCCTGGCCAGCACCGCAAATATGTCACAGAGTTTTTTCCTCATGCTGGCGTGGGTTTCTAACTTCACGGCCAGGATCAGTTCTATCTTGACATCCCTCTGGACCTCAGGAGGCAAGTTTGGGTAAACCTCCTCAAACCCGGAGGACAAAAGCCTCCGTAGCAGTGCGGCAGCCATTTGTCTCACCTCATAACCTGATCTCCTGTTCCTGACGGCATCTAAAAGGAAGGTAGTTTTACACAGACCTGGGATATTCTCATAGATCTCCTCCGCTTGTCTCCGCACCATGCAGCTCGGATTGATCAGGTTCTTCAGCAGCTGGTAAAACTCCTGCTTGTCGGACACGGCCGCCGGCACCCCGGCCGCCCCGGCAGCCCCGGCCGCCGCCATCGCGTTCTGTCAAAGCGGCCGCGACCGGGAAGGAGGGGCGGGAGGGAGTGGGGGGGGGTCTGCGGCTCGAGGCGCTGACGTCAGCGAGGCGCCGGCGCGGAGGGGCGGAGGCGTCTGGCTCCCCGAGTTCCCGGGCTGGGAACCCCGAGAACGGCGGGAGGCGGCTGAGAGGCGAGGAGCGTCCTTACACCTGCAAGGGAGGGATGTTCGCACTGATGATGCTGAGATCGGATGATGGATGATGCATAGTACAGCCTGATGTTTACAACAAGCATATCTTGAAAACCAAGTGGAAAAAGCCAATCTCTCTCTCTCTCACACACACACACACACACATGCACAGGATGTCATTCCTGAATAAGCACATCTCGGCTACCCAGCTACTAGCGATGGACTGACTGCCAGAGGCTAGGGGGAGGGGAGAAGGGAGAAAACTGTCAGACAGGATTTCTTTCCCAGCGATGAAAATGCTACCAGATTGGATGTGGTGCGGGATTATACTATAAGCCGCTGAGTTGCACGAGGTTGTGTCGTGAATGTTAATGATAGACGAATCGCGCCGCAGAACAGTGAATCGTCAGATAATATAAGTGAATTAAAGGGGGGGAGGGGACTTCCTGCCACATCTAATGCAGACGGATGCTGTTCAAACCCGCAGCACTGCCTCACAGTCCTTTGGCCTCTGAACGACTGATTACCATTCTAGTATAAAAGGAACCTAATGTTCGGACTTGAATCCAGGCCTTAGCTCTAAAATTCATTTTGTATCTTTCATGTCATTTAAGATTTTCCGTGCAGGTTGCCTAAATTGTAAGGCGGGATAGACCCAGTCAGAATCATCCTAACTGCCTTTTGGTAGGAGGCTCCTGAGCTTATTATAAGAAACAAATGTTCCTCCGGCTAAGTATTGTTTATTTCCTCTGAGCAGGTGTGTTAGTCAAAAAGGCTTTTTGCCCCTGCGGATGCCTAGCACTTTGCCACCCTCGCATGCTGCCCTTTCAAAAGATGAGTGAGCTTGCTAGGACAAACACAATGCTACATTTTAGGTGAAAAACGGAAGTGAAGGCAGTCCAACGGATTCGCCTAAAGCGACGCACTTGAGGCTCTTCTCAAAGCGATGCCCAAGTTCTTTTCGCCGTGCGTTTTTGCCATAATTACGATTGGCTTCGCAACAACACGAAAGGCCTTCATTTATGGAAGAGCCTATCTCCAGGCTGGCTTGGTTTCAGTTTTTACAAAATGCTGCAGCAGCAAACCTGCAAAAACAGAAAACTCGCACTACCAGGTGATGGGCAAGAAGTCCCATCCATTGCATTGACAGCGTGAAACCTATTTTCGTTCTGTGGACCGGAACACCAATGGCCTCACATTCACCTTGGATATTTGTTTTAAAACACAGACTTTTGGGTCCAAGTTCCAACCTACCAAAATGCCAAATCTGGCATTGTGACGTAGTGGGTAATGTCTGTAATCCTGACATCCCATTTGGGTACTAACCAATTTGTGTCCTGGCTGCTCCACTTCCAATCCAGTTTCTTGGAAAGCAGTGGAAGATGGCCTAAGTGGTTTGGGCCCCTGCACCCACATGAGAGAACTGGATGAAGTCCGGCCTCTGGCTTTGGTCTGGCCCAGCCCTGGCTGTCCAGGCCCTCTGGGGGGTGGGGCCCAGCAGATGGAAGATATCTTTCTTTATAGCTCTGACATACAGAGTAAATAAATGTTGAAAAATAGAAAAGAGAAAACAAACTGCTTCACCTGAGAAGCAGTCTGCCAGGGTATTTATAGCAAAAGTTCGGGCAGTTTCTAGGATCTAGAAGCCGGAGGAAGGGGCCTTCCTTCTGGCACTATCCCCTCTGTATATATTACATGTTTACAACTGTGACTCACATTGGCTTCTTGAAGCTTTTCACTGTTTCTCTTTTTTGGTTGTCTGCCCGCTCCCTGGAGTACAGTGTTGCAAGAAAGGACTTCCTGGAACCCTGACACAGACTCTTTCCTGCTGCTTTACTTGTTTGTGCAGGCCTGGTCCCCTTTGAGTACAGTGTTTCAAGATAAACTTCCCTACAGCCTCTAAAAGCCAAGCTGAAGCCAATAAACTGTTTCAGATCCCACCTCCCTTAAATTCTACACTTTTGGATAGAATGAATCCTCATGAACCACTGGGAAGGAGAGAAACAGGGTTCTTCTAAAAGGGAATAGCTTGTCCCCATGCAGGCACCCTTAGAGTAAAGTAGCGTGCGTTCTGTCCGTGTTTCAGTATTGCCTTAGTATTGGGTATGGGATTGGAGGGGGCTTGAGATGATAGAGAAGGCAGGAGCAAAGAGGAAAGAAAATTAGTGGCCAAATTATGAAGAGTACTTATATTTCATATTAAGAAATGTGTGGGGCCAGCACGCGCAGTGGGAAGAGCTGTTGCCTGTGGTTCACATCCTGTATAGAGTCCCAACTGTTCCACTTTCAATCCCGCTGGGGAAGCACTGAAGCACAGCTTGGCCCCTGCACCAACAAGGAGGCCCAGAAGTTCCTGGCTTCCTCTTGTCCCAGTTCTGGCTGTTGGGGCCATTTAGGAAATGAACCAACAGATGGGAGACATGGAAAACTTCTCTCTCTCTCTCTGGCTCGCCCTGCCCTTCAAAATAACTCAGTCATTGAAAAAAAATTTTGGTATTTAAAGTAACAAAGAGCTCTTTAAGGATTTTAATCAAGGGCTGTAAATACTCAATTTTTTTTTTAGTGAGGTTATTCTGATAGGAGTGAGAATTGAGAAGCAAGGGACAGGAGTCCAATAGCCTAGAGAAGCTCCTTGAGTTTTGGTCTGCACAGCTGGCTAGAGTGCTGCTGCTCAGTACTTGTAAATAAATAATGGACAACATTAATACAGCTCAATAGATTGCTGTTTCTGAGGCAAAGGGACTTTCTCAAGAGAGTAAATCCTAGGATTCACATTTTGTTCTCTGGTGGCTCCCATATGCTATGGTGATGGTCATTATTTCAACAGTAGGAGCTAAACTGAATCTAGGAAGATTATTTATGGCCTTTTTAATTTTAGAACAAAACATATCCAACTTCAACTCTTCCTTTTCAGATTTTGTAATTTTTTTCCATTTACTTTTTTAAAAAAAGATATATATATATATATACATACATACATATATATTTATTTATTTATTTTACTTGGAAAGGTGGATATACAGATAGGAGGAGAGACAGAGAGGAAGATCTTCCATCCGATGGTTCACTCCCCAACGTAACGGCTGGAGCTGAGCCAATCCGAAGCCAGAAGCCAAGAGCTTCTTCCAGGTCTCCCACGAGGGTGTGTGGTCCCAAGGCTTTGGGCCATCTTCAGCTGCTTTCCCAGACCACAAGCAGGGAGCTGGATGGGAAGTGGAGCTGTTGGGATTAGAACCAGTGCCCATATGGGATCCCGGGCGTGCAAGGTGAGGATTTTAACCACTATGCTATTGCGCTGCCCCTCCATTTACTTTTTACACTGTTATTTCCTGTATTTCCCCCTTTTTAGGAATGCAGAAAAATACCCAAGATTTCCAGATTGCTCTTGAAGATCTGTTTATGGTCAAACAACATTATTAAGTTTTGTAATTAAAATTGGCTTTATTTGCACTGGTGAGAAGCCATCATGAAAATGTTTTCACAAGTGCCCCAATACCAGATAATTTAGCTGTTGATTAACAGCTTACAGAGTGGGGGAAAGATCCAAGATAAACTACAAATTTCTTCCAAAATCTAAGCAATTTAGAGCCAAATGAGGAGGACAGAATTAAATTGGACGTATTCAACATTTTACAAGAACAACCCAAAGCAACAACACCACAGAAAAATACAGAAAACAAAACGTATCATGGAAGTCTTTTAGAAAAAGATTTATTTATTTGATAGAACGATATGGAGAAGGAAAAAGGGAGGGAGGGAGGAAGAGAGAGAAAGAAATCTTTTATCTGTTGGATCACGTCCCCAAATAGCCACAATAGGTAAATATCCCATCCACTGCTTTCCAAGGCACATTAGCAAGCAGCTGATGGGAAGTGGAAAGGCTGGGGATGCGGCCAGGACTAAGATATGGCATGCCAGAGTATCAGGCTGCAGGTTAACCCTCTAATGTACCCAGGAAAGCATTCACTATCCTAAAATGGGATAATATGAATATAACAAAAAATGATATTTACAATTATTGAAAACATCAAAAATACACAAAGGGTTAATTTCTAGTAGCTTCTTTTCACTCAGCCCAATACTTTAGAAATTCATCCTTCTTGGCACATACTTGTTCCTTTGTCTTTTTTAAGATTTATTTTTTAAATTTTTACTGGAAAGGCAGATATACAGAGAAGAGGAGAGATAGAGAGAAATATCTTCCATCCAATGATTCACTCCCCAAATGACCGCAACAGATGGTACTATGCTGATCCGAAGCCAATAGCCAGGAGCTTCTTCTGGGTCTCCCACACAGGTGCAGGGTCCCAAGGCTTTGGGCCTTCTTCGACTGCTTTCCCAGGCCACAAGCATGGGAAGTAGAGCTGCTGGGATTAGAACTGGCGTCCACATGGGATCCCAGGTGCGTTCAAGGCAAGGACTTTAGCCGCTAGGCCACTGCGCTGGTCCCTCCTTTATCTTAACATGTCATGTGAATACAGTAATGTTTCATTACATGAAGATGCCACAATTTGTGCATGTAGTCTTCAGTTGATAGAGATTTGTGCTGCTCTCAGTTTTAGACTACTATGTAGCAATCCTACGCAAAGCATGTTTTCATATTTCTTGATAAATACCTAGGAGTGGAAAGGCTTTGTCACATTTTTAACAAACTGCCAGATAGTTTCCAGTTATCTGACCATTTTCCATCCTTCACAGTAATGTATAGCAATGTATACTCCACATCCTTGACAAAACTTTATACTGTCCATCTATTAAATTTTGTGGTATTTGATTTTTTGGGGGGTTTACATTTTCCTATGGGCTTAATAGTGTTGAACAGTTTTTATGTGCTGATTCCCCTTTGTATGTTTTTGGTGAAGTATTTATTTAAGTATCTGGCCTGCATAAATCATCTAGTTTTTTTGCTCTTATTATTGAGTTTTAAGAGTTTTCTTTAATAGATGAGGGATATAACTCTTTTATCAGATATAAAATATTTCTCTTTTTTCTTGACTGTCTTTTGAAGGTCAAAAGATTTTAAGTTTGATGATGATGAATTTATCGTATCAAAATTTTGCTTACGGGACAGTGCTGTGGTTTAGTGTGCTTCCCTGGCACTCCATATGGGCACTGGTTCAAATTCCAGCTGCTCCACTTCCAAACCAGCTCTCTTCTAATCTACCTGGGAAAGCTGCAGAATGGTCCAAGCGCAGGGGCCCCTGCATGCACGTGGGAAAGCCAGAAGAAGCTCCTGGCTCCTGGCTCTGGCCTGCCCCCGCCCCAGTCACTGCAGCTATTTGGGGAATGAACCAGAGAATAGAAGAGTCTCTCATTCTCTCTCTCTTTTCCCCTTTCCTTCTCTTTTCTCTCCTCCCCATCCATCTCCCTGTCTCGGTAACTCTGCCTTTCAAATAAATACATTTTCATGGAAGAATTTTTTGTTTTCTTTATTTCCTATTTAATCGATGTTTAGCCAGTGTACACTTACAAAGATTGCCTTCAACGTTCTGTCAATTTTATAACTTTAGGTTTTACATTTATTGCAAGTTGATTTCTACAAAAGGCACGAAGTGTGGATTTGGGTTTACGTCTTTTTGTATTTGATGTTCACCTTGTTCCAGCATGAGAAGATATGGCATCCACTTCCATTGTTACAAAGGGCTTAGCCGAAGCCCATGGATAGGACTGTGTGAAGTAGAAAGTCAAATGGGACTTCATTCCAGGAAATCAATTGTAGACTATATTGCCTCTGATATTAAGAAAAATGACACTTGACGAATTCTCGCAAAGCAAGCATATTAAACTATTATAAAGACAAAACATTTAGAAAAGTAACTTTTTGTAATGAAAATAAGCATATTAGGTTTATAAAAGTGAAACCATATCTGACTGATATATGCCTTTCCTTGATCCATTCAGCCAGAAACCTGCGAGCCAAGGAGACTGACTCCTTCTGGAGATGTGAGGACGGATGGACTGCAGGGGAAGCACCCAGCTCGAAGTGAGCCAGCCTCTCATGTGTTTGCTCGTCTTGAAGGCAGACATCATGGACCGCCCTCCTACGGATGGTGTGTGGCACCGTGGCCTAGTGGCTAAATCCTCACCTTGCATGCACCGGGATCCGATATGGGCTGGTTCGTGTCCAGGCTGCTCCACTTCCCGTCTTGTGTCCTGGGAAAGCAACAGAGGATGAGCCAAAGGCTTGGGATCCTGCACTCTTGTGAGACTTGGGGGAAGCTTCTGGTTCCTGGCTTTGGATTGGCTTAGCTCTGGCCTTTGAGGCCACTTGGAGAGTGAACCATTGAACAGAAGATCTTTCTGTCTGTCTCTCCTGCTCTCTGTAAATCTGCCTTTCCAATAAAAATAGATTTTTTTTTTAAGATTATGCTTCAGTAGTAAACAGCTTTGGCAGGTTGAAGTAATGCCTCCCTCGGGGGCAAAGAACAGGCATGGTTACTGTCCAGAACCACACAACAACCACCACAACAAAACCAAACCATCATCATTCTTTGGGAGAAAAAGTGGGCTGCCTTACTGCCTGTTATAAAGAACTCCAGGACTCCAAGCTCAGCAGTTCTCGCTGTTCATCCAGCTGTCATCCATCCCTTTCCAACACCCTGGGAAAATTGGAAGTTGGTGATAAAAAAAAAATGCAATGAATTAACCAATTAATTGGTAAGTTAAAACAACACCAATGAAAGACCTTTTGGGATTTTATGGAATTTGATGACACACAGATAAATCAGTTTGAAGAACACAAGATCAGATACGGAAACGTCATACTGAAATGTCAGTATGTTTCATCTGCCTACTAGAATTTCAAGACAAGATGTTATCTTACCAAAGAAAAATAATCAGAAGCATTAGTGGTAAAGTCAAATACATGGAAAGAGGGGTGAAATAGACTTCTAAAATAAATGCCAGCTATTTTAAGACTTTCACAGGTGACAGGTCAAGGCGACCCAGCTGCAGGGCTGGCAGGAAGGATCTGGCTAGGGAGCAAGTCGGAGCTATGCCTCTTACTGCCTGCCTGCTTCCATCCATAACTGGCTTCCTGTGTCATCTGCAACATGTGCCACTGGGCAGCAACCAGCATTAAGTTTGCATTTGGAAATGGCCACTGCTTTGTGGTTACTAGCAAATGGTCAGTAAGGTAGTAATACTAAAATATCTTAAAATGTGCAGTTCGCTGATAAAGCCAAATCAAAGAATGGAATGGATGAATGAAAAAGAAATTAGAGACAGAGCAAGAATCAAGCCTTAGGGCAACTCAGATGATTCCGTTTTTTTTTTTTTTTTACCTTCACTATAAATTTTTTATTAAAAAATAAAATTATAAACAAAATACAGAAAAATATTGACACCTGTGATAACAAGAAAATGACTTAATATTTAGGACAACTTGTCCTGGGGGGAAGAAAATGATTTTTATACTTTCATTATGCAAAGGAGGAATGTTCATTTTTACAGCTCATTTACAACAGGCATTTGGCATTGACAGAAAAAGCATTTCTATGCGTACATTCAACAACTTGCAGGATATTTACATTCAAGTTATATCTCAGGGTCCTATGCCAATACAAGCTAACCACTGAAAATTCTCAGATTCTTACCAGCTTTCTGTTCGTTTGGGAGTTTAACATAATTTTATTAGAAAACGATTTTACACTCCTACTGTATTTTTATTTCTTCAAGAAAACTTGTTGACGTTTGCTTCGCAGTTTAAGCAACTGTCATCTTCTGGACAAATTAAACATTAACTCAGATGTGACCAGTATGAAATCATACGTTCCCTTCTTCTTAGTCAGTAAAAGGACTCCAGCTCTGAAAATTGCTTTCTATAAAACTGCTTTCTCTTATTGTACTCAGGTTGTCTTAGGGATGTTAACTGCAGAGTTTTAGCTTTTTTGTCAACAACGTTCGTGTACTTTCCCCTCAGCGGTTACAAAATTCCTCATCAGAACAAAACACATCAGCAAAGTCACAGTGGATTTCTGAAACCTCTTCACAACTGTTCCCACACACTTCTTATCAGACAATCTACTAATTAGCAAGGCTTCAATTTATTTTTCCAAATTATACTATGATCATTCTTTTGCTTCCTGGCAATCTTTACATTTTAAATTATGATTTTCTTAAAATCAGAATAAATTACTAGTAACTTCCGACATTTTTGTTATAGTTCTCTTAGAAATCTGCCTTAACTTAGTGCCGGGTCAGGATTCCATGGAGCCCGTCTAAGGATTAGGACATTCTCAGCCCTTCAAGAGATTCCAGACAGATCACATCTATTCATGAAGTGTCTGTTCTTTCTTAATCGCCTCAAATTAAACTCAAACTTTAAAAAAAAATGTGTAGATACTAAGGACAGAACAGTGGAGAGAGATGAATTTTGCTTAGTTCAGCTCATTCCTTCTAATTTTCTTCAAGTTGTAACTTCTCCTCTGGTACATAATGGCTGGCAGTTGGCAGTGGACTGCTGAGTGGGTATCACTTCCAAGTCAGATTCACGAACAAAAACCACTGCATCCCCACTTACATTTATAAGACACTGTGCCTGGTTTTTATTTGGGTTCTCCATGAAAACACACTGCTTCATTATGTAGGAGACAACAGCATTCCCTCCTAACGCTGCAACGTGAGCTCTCACCATCGTGAACACCTCCGCAATAAACGCATGGAGAAAACCACTGACGCCTCCTTCCTCACGAAGAGAAGTGGTTTCCCGAATAAAAAAACATGTTAATTATCCCAAGATACTTAGTTATTTTTGCTCCAGGAATGAAGGAAAGTGGTGTCATCTTAACAACCCCAACTGTGGAGTTTGCACATGGTGGGGCAGAGCGATTCCGGAAATTTCCTTCTCCCATTGGACTTGCTTTTTCACCTGTCACAGCTTTCGCCGGTGGAAAAGGATGCGAAGGAAGTGAATCTGAACAGAGCTCCAGTGCAAACTGCAGAAGGTCTTCACTGTCCGTAGAGGCTCTTTGCAACGACTTTTCAGCATGTGTTTTTGTGGTTTGTAATGCCTGGTTTTTGTCAAAAGTTATCGCAACTGCTGTGACTGTAACCTGAATTAATTCATCTTCAGGCAGAGATACCGTAAAATTTAAATGGCAAAGGCAACAGGGGATCATGGACCGCAGTTTAAAATACAGGCTCTTGAGCAAATTTTCACAGAGATCATTAAAGTTCTTATTGAGAGCTTGATTAGTCAGGTTAAGGCTGCTTAATCTGATTACTCTTACTGATGTAAACATCTGTATTTCAGATGTCCAATTATTTATACCAAGCATGATTTCTGTATTACAACTGTAAAAGCCTGAGGGCGGGGGGACATCTGTCAGCAGGGAGTGTACATCCTCCATGGCATCCGTGTCATCGATCTCCAAAACAAAAGCATCCTTTTTTCCATGTGAAAGATCTAATTCTGTAACTTCATCAGAACTCTCTGATTGAGATCGTAAAAGTCTTGAGCGTTGTCTAGGTTCTGGGATGGGTGATCCTATAATCTCTTCAGATATCTCAGGAGGACTGATCTCATACAGCTCTTTGTTCTTGGCGATCGTGTCATTGGTCTTCTGCATGTGAGAGACGTGCTGCTCATAGGTGCCATCATTTGGAGTCTTCCCAGCAATCTGGATGCCACCGGGTGGGGGGAGGGCTGCCAGATACACACCTGTAGCAGACGCTAAGCCCATCAACATATTTTCACCCACTGTGATCTGAATTCTCAGCCCAAACAAGGCGTTCATTCCTTTGAGTTTTAGCTTGTTCATCAGCTGGGTGTGCACTTCATACTCCATAAACGGCAGGAGATTACTGACAGCTGTGGCGTTCGCTTCGGCCTGTGCCTTCTTCTTTAAGCGACATAATCTTGCTTGAATGAGACAACCTTTTCCAATAACAGCTGCATCTGTTGGGAGGTCTATAGTGGTAAACAGAACATCAGGAACTTTTTGTTTCCTGCAGTTATAGCAATATGTGAGATGAGCTGGCAATGGCATATTCAGTTCATCATATGGTATATGGCAAAATCCACAGCCAACAGGCAAATTTTCTTCAAGCCTTTGTTCCAAACAGCCCTCCACGGTGCCCTCCTGCAGAAAGCGGGGGTTCAGCACGGCCGCCGTCCCGGAAGCAGATAAAATACAGACCTCTTCACAGATGCTAGTGGATTCGCTGTAGCCCACCACGGCATGACAGCCTAACGCTTTAGCATGCGATTTGATTTCTTGTCTGATCTCTGCCCACCATGCATCTCGAGTTTCTGGTTCATCTGGATTGTGGATACGATCCAAAAGCTTCACCGAGCGTGCGCTGACAACACCTCCAACGTGAAGGAGAAACCCAGGAGGAAAGGCCGTCAGGGTGAAAAACAGAAACTCCCTCTGCTCCAGGGCGGACTGAGTCTGTTGTCTCAACAGGGCTTTAAACGGCCCCAATTCTTTTCCAGCACTACCACTTCCCATTCCAGTTTTGGGTGTCAAACTCAAATCTGTGTCAGAAGAAGAGGACTGTCGGCTGTAGGACTTGGAAGGTGAAAAGGAATAAGTTTGGTTTTTCAGAGGGGTTGAGGGTCCTGATGAGTGAGTATTGGAGCTGGGATCTTCATTGAAGGGAATCTCCTTCATTTCTTTGGATGGGGAATTACATGCAGGAAGGAATGCCGCCGGGCTACTTAATTTATCCAAAGTACACGCTGTTCCTATGGCTCGTACCACTAACCCAGACTCGCCCTCCAGATCAAAACACTGCAAGTACCCGACAACTGCATTTCCTCTCATTTCAAGGACTTTCAGACCAATCTTTATAATTCACCTGACATTAAAGAAATGAGTCTCTGTCTTGCCTCATTTGAGGCCCTTGGTGTGCGAATTCGATCAATCCACCACAAGTTCTTCTACAAATCCATGAATTATCACAGCTCTATAGCACTTTGGAATAGATGTTGTGCAAAAGAATTTGACTCCACACGATGACTGTCGAAACCGATTTAAATCATTGAAGAGATCCACTTTAACAACTACATTGATTTCCCCACGGATACCATGTATGGTGTCATAAATTGGAAACCATCCTGAGATGACTGTTGCAGCTTCACTATACAGTAAAAGGTCGATGTCGATCTACACCTTCCCGATGGCATCACTGGCACTGTAGGTGTCATGGTCAAGAACTGTGATCTGCAGAGGTTCGTCCTGCAGGTCTTCATCATCCACCTCAAATTTAAACCATTCTGAGTTCCATTGGGGGTTGAGCGACTTGAGGTACACATCTGCCTTAAATGTGGTGTTACCAAATTTTACCTCCACGAAGGCATCAGTCAGGTCACTAGCACGGTCCATCACCGGCAAATGGCGCCCGGGCATCTTGTCGACTTCTGCCTCTCCTTGGGCTCGCTTGGGGGTGAACAGGGACCGTCTGGCGCTGGCGCTGAGGTCTCATTCCGGAAGAGGCAGGCGGAAGAAAATGCCCTACTGGATTCTTCTGTCTTGTGCCCCGCAAAGCTGGGAAGAGAAGCCAAGCCCGGTCCGCATCCCGTAGAGCCTCGACCGCCCCTCCAGGGTGTTTCTCCTCCGCCCCCCCCCAAAAATACGATTCCGGTTTTATGAATCACCTTTGCAAGTCAATCTGGTTAGCTTTTATTAATATATTCAGATACGGATTAACATTCATAAAACACATCAATAGATTTCACCCGGATGTGTTTTGAAAGTTCTGATTATTAACTTCTAAGAAAAGTGACCAAACAAATTTTAAGATGTATTTATGTTATTTAATTTACTAATACGGGGTGGTAGTTCCCATGTACATCAAAATAGACTATGCACCGATTAAATATTTTTAAGCAACTCATGAAGCAGGGGCAGGCATGTAGCTAAGTGGCTAGGGTGCCAACACCCACATGCAAGTCTCCGACTTCCATACCCAGCACTGACTCCTGACTCCAGCTTCCTGCTGCAATAGGTGCTGGGAGTCACTGGTGGTGGCTCAAATAGCTGAGCTCCTGCCATGCATGTGGGAGACCAGACTGGGTCCTTGGCTCCTGGCTTTTGTCTCAGCCCACCCCAGGCTACTGGAGACAACGTGGGATTTGAACTACCAGATGTGAGCTACCTGTTTCTATCCATCAGGGTCCGTGTGTCTTTCTACCTCCCCCCCACCAAGATTTATTTACTGTTATTGAAAAAGACAGATATACAGAGAGAAGAGACAGAAAAATTTCCATCTGCTAACTCACTCCCCAAATGGGCCACAATGGCTAGAGCTGAGCCAGGCAGAAGCCAGGAGCCAAGAGCTTCTTCCAGGACTCCCACATTGGTGCAGGGACCAAGGACTTGGCCCACCGTCTACTGCTTTCTTAGGTCATTAGCAGGGAGCTATACGGGAAATGGAGTAGCCAGGACACAGACCAGTGCTCACTTGGGATGCCAGTGTTTGCAGGCAGAGGAGAAGCTGAAGTATCTAAATGGAAAATCATAAGACAATCAATTTTAAGAATTTAGCCCTCTACAGATTTGGTACACATATGTATAACCAATACCAACAGTATTTTTTTTAGAATAATTTTGTACAGTTTGGCTACAAATAAGCAGTGGAAATATTTGAAAGTAAAATGGCCAAGTACAAAAAAGTATCTCCTACTTGACAGATGATCAGAGAAGATGATTTACCAACCAAGAAATATAAACTCTAGATCATGAATAAAAGAATCCCAATTTGTGTGGCAATTAAAATGAAATAAACTCATAGCAGACTTCTGCTTAATTACACAAGAAAAACTACTGCATCAAAAATACTACATCAAAAGTACACTGGTATACTGCTTGTTAGGCCGAGCAGCGCATCAAAGCGCAGGAAACTTGTCGCCAGCCTGGAACACGTGGTGACCTTGGAACGTGAAGCAGCAGCCTGGATCCCGGCGCTCTCTCCTCGCTGCCTCCCCCCCCCCCCGGACACCGACGACAGAAGAGAACGTCACCAGCCTCAGGGCTATCTTTGCCAAGGTCAAACAGAAACGTCTCCAAAGCTGAGTCTGCACGGAAGATCAACACCCGACATGACAACGGCACAGCCCCAAGCATGCGCAAACGGAGGAGCTGCTGCCTTCCTCAGCTGCCTCACCTCACAGCCCAGCTGTGTATCCTGGGGTGGCATTTTCCCCACATGGTCCACCCTGCCATGTGGAGGTGGTTATGGGCTGTCTCCCAGGAGTGAGCAGTCTGTGAGACTGACTCTGTCTCTCTCTTACACACACACACACACACACACACACACACACACACACACACACACACACACACACACACGCTTGGCTTCAGTCATTGAAGGCTCTGAGGTATCCAGGCCCTTGCCTTCTCTTCAAGAAGAACTTCATGAGCGAGCCATGGAATAGCAAAAGGAGCACTAAAGTTTCACGGAGAACACAAAGATCTACGTACACGCCACAGTGAGGCCTGTTCCGTGAGGAGCAGCCACACCTCTGCACCGTGCTAGACAGTTCAGGAGTTTAACGAAAACAGACATACGTTCCGATGAGAGGGAAGGATGTATGTTCTCCCAAGGGGGAAGAATATTCATGGTGTTTCAGGATATAGCACATGATTTCCTAGGATCTAGTTACTAAGCCCTTTTGCTCCATGTATGGTCCAATATGTTTTGTCTCAGTGGCTGGCAGGTGTGTCATTTAGCATGCAAAATCATGAGCTGGAGATCAAGCCAAGGTCAGCCTTGGTCCTCGGGGCAGGTGCAAGCCTGATCCCCGCAGGAGAGCTGCTGATTTTCAGGATAAGGGTAATTACGTTCCCATCCTGTCCACCGTGAGAGCACAGAGCTCCTCCCAGGTGAGTCAGAGCTCACATGCCTCCCTGTCTCATCTGGTGTCCGCTGTGAATTTGTACTTGTATAATGTCAGCATTTGGCTCCAACTCTACAAGAAACCAAGCTGGCATCTCCCTGCTTCCCGCAGGAGTTGATCTGGGGCCCTGACATTTATTTTAGCTCATTACTCTGCAGGGAATGACGATCAGAGTTGGTGTTCAATATAGAATATGGCTTCTCAGGCCCGGCACGGTGGCGCAGTGGTTAAGGTCCTTGCCTTGCACGCCCGGGGTTCCCATATGGGCGCCGGTTCTATCCCGGCAGCCCCGCTTCCCTTCCAGCTCCCTGCCTGTGGCCTGGGAAAGCAGTCAAGGACGGCCCAAAGCTTTGGGACCCTGCACCCGCGTGGGAGACCCTGAAGAGGCTCCTGGCTTCGGATTGGCATAGCACCGGTGGTTGTGCTCACTTGGGGAGTGAATCATCGGACAGAAGATCTTCCTCTCTGTCTCCTCTCTCTGTATATCCGCCTTTCCGATAAAAAAATAATAAAAATAAATCTTTAAAAAAAAAAAAGAATATGGCTTCTCAAACTTATAGGTGCATACGGAGCCTTTAGATGAATACTCCTCCTCCATCCCCACTGTGCCATCCCCTTTAACACTTGTCTTCTAGCAAACTACAGAGATCATGGATTTTTAATACTTACTATCTCCCCCACGTGACTGCAAGCTTCAAGAAGTTAGGGATTTTTTTCTTGGTCTGTTTGTATCTCTGACGCCTGGATCATAAGTGAGCATTCAGAACATGTTTGGGAGAATACATGTGTAATTCGTCAAATTCAACTGTATTTTGAAGTACACTGGATGCCTTACAGGTGGAAGGCATTGGTGTCAGGTGCTTTGTACAATACCAAAGTACAACACCACCGGGCAGCCCCTGAGGCCGTCCTCTATCTAGATGTTTCTGTTATGTGACCATCCCTCTTCACGCATTAAAACAAGTTCAGTGATGCGGGCCACAGTTCTCAGACCACAACACAAGTTTTCCTGGAGGCTTCATACTCTAACATCTGAGCTGGGGCTGGCTGAGGAGGGCAGGGCCTTACTAGCTGCTAACATATTTTTTTGGAGGGGAGGAATAGCAAGTTTCCAAATTCAGCCTTTCTCGTTCAAAAGAAATTCAATCTCCCCTTGAAAAATAACAACTCTGGGCAAAGACAAAAAAAACGAACAAACAAAAAAAAAGTCAAAACCAAACCCAGGCCTTTCTCTTCATGAGTTGACAAGCTAGCAGGGGAGGCCAACAAATATAAATTAAAAATAAAGAAGAAAAACCAAGTCAGAAGTATGGTAGAGATGTAAGGCAAACACAGCAAAGAGCCGGGAGAACTCAGCCTCTACTGACTAGGACCAGCAGCGGAGGCTGTAAGAGAGAGACAGTGCTTGAAGATGGTAGAAATTTTTACCTTTGAAGGGGAAGGGAAAATTCCAGATAAAAAGAACAGCTGGATCAGAGACCTGGAGCAGAAAAGTATTCCTAACGCTTTAATCAAGGTATAATAGTTTCTTTGTTGTAATTGAAGCATGTAGGGTAGGAGCGGCTGGATGAAGGGGTTAACTGGGTTTAACATTATGGAATCATGACCGTCAGAGTCTTTCATTTCATGGTCCTGCTTATAACCAAATATGAAAACAAAACAAAACAACAACAAAAAACCCTTCTTGCCCAGGTCATCATGAATTATTCAAGTGTGCTCCCTATGCAAAGCACGCTACATGGTTCTGATGGGGACCTGAGCCAAGCACTGCTAACTTGAAAGATGAGTGGGAAGGTAGTGTAAAAATTGACATGACTAGGAAGAGGCAGAGGCTGACAGGACAGGGTTTAGATAGAAGATTTGCAGAACTAGGGCAGAGCCTGAGGGAAAAGAAGTTTACCCAATTCAGCCTAGTGAGGAGAGGGCCCAGCGCGGTGGTGCAATGGTTAAGGTCCTCACCTTGCATGCCCGGGATCCCATAT